TAGTACTACCAATAATATACACCAGATAGTACTACCAATAATATACACCAGATAGTACTACCAATAATATACACCAGATAGTACTACCAATAATATACACCAGATAGTACTACCAATAATATACACCAGATAGTACTACCAATAATATACACCAGATAGTACTACCAATAATATACACCAGATAGTACTACCAATAATATACACCAGATAGTACTACCAATAATATACACCAGATAGTACTACCAATAATATACACCAGATAGTACTACCAATAATATACACCAGATAGTACTACCAATACTATACACCAGATAGTTCTACCAATACTTTCTACCATGTAGTACTACAAATAATATCTACCATGTAGTACTGCCAATAATACCATACACATACCTATTAATTACTTGTTCAGGGACTACACTTTAGTCAGGTCATCCAAACGTTTTCATTCAAACCTCCCTTGGATTTGTACTTTCCTAACGTAATCGTCTAGTAAGAGTTCCAAATGAGAATTCACTTATAAATATATATATAATTTCAAACCACCCGATATCATTGCACAGGTAATACAGTACTTACCTGTAAAATCACATATATGTATAGTAATATGACGATCAAGCTATATTCCAGTGTCCAACGTCTTATGTCCCACGTAAACAGGTCGACACCACATGGTGTATCCAGGTACGCTTTTCACCGTTAACAATTCTATTATAGTTGAATGACATATTTAGGGCCCGGCGATCAAGTAACTAGTGTTTACATTCAATGTACAATGGTTATAAGACCCCAATCAACCGGAAAGACTTGAGCCATTCACCCATAACCTATATATACCCTGTGTATAAATAGTTCACAACTTCGTAATTTATCGGTAAAACTATGCATAGAGCCAAGCTAGACCTAAAAATGTATGTGTAAGAGAGGTCTGAGACGGTTATTTAAAGATATACCGGTGTTATACAAGTTTCAGTCAGGCGGAATTCAGCTAATTATAACGTAACGTCAGTATAACTAAATGTATACCAGTTTGGCTTTAAAATGTTTGATGTTTAATGTTTAATGGGCAAAGTAAGTAGGATTTTTTGTTCAGAAATATAAGATTTCTTCACATAAAATACGTTAGTTTTCAGCAGTTTTTAAGTTCAACATATCTTTTTATCAAAATTTTATATAAAAAAAAAATGACCGTAGATTCCAATTTTTAGTGAGTCGGTCGAGAAACAGGGTGGCCTCGTTGTTCTTAAGTGGAAACAGATCAAATAATATTAAACTGTCACCTTTGACTCCAAGTTACATATCTAAACATGTACTGTAAACGATAAGCTACATGTACCGTACTGAATTTTCTATTGGTTAATCAATCTGTTTATCATTCTTGTTTACGTTCATCACTGTCAATTGACTAATATTATTATATAGTGCATATAGAAAGGGGTCTCATTTGTCATCGTAATTAATTCAAAAACTCTCCGATTGTGAAATAATTCAAGTGCATATCATACCATACCATGAGGCTGATATATGGTAACGATCCTACGTTTGTTAAATTATTATCACAATTCTTGTTTAACTGTAGAACATTGAGGTAACAACAGTTTGGTTGCTAAACAAGATATGGCCGTCGGGGAGCCCACATTTCTCATGCAAGAGCGACTAAATACATTCGTATTCAAACGAAGACACTCCTGTTACTTTAGCATTTCTGTTTGAATTGTTGAGATTGTGCAAGTATTTCGTTTTACAGCAACTATAAATATGGATTCGCTTCTTGCAAAACTATTCTAGCAAAACTATTCTCATAAAGTAATTTAACTTGTAAATTGATTTTGCGTGTATCATAACGAACTACCTCTCCAGTGTGTTTCCACCAATATTGATCAACATGTGAGGACGGAAAGAGTGATAAAACATACAAGCATGGAAAACGACTAGACGAAAATAGTAATAGCATTTCCTACACAATATAACGTACCGAATTCTGACAACTGTTGTACTGACGTCGGTACCTGACATTGGACCACCGATGTAATGACGTCGGCCCAACGGCCCATTCCTGCACCTGATGCGGTACCCGACATTAGACAACCGACGTACTGACGTTCGCCCAACGTTATACCAGCATAGGAATTGAGCGTTGGACCAGCGGTAACGTTGGCCCAACGTTAGCCGTCGTTTCACCAACACTTAGTTCCGACGTCGAGCCAATCTCTACGGTGGACAAACGTATGTCGAGTCAACGTTGGTTTCCGTTGTTGGGCCATCGTTTGGTGTCACGTTGGCCCAACGTTTGACCAACGTCTGACTGCTAGCTGGGCTGTTACAAGAGAAACGCCGAATGTCATGCCTCAGGCACATGTGGAGATCTAGAGTCTCCGTTTCTTCTCGACCGCCATTGTAGATTTGCTGCCACATTTTCAGATTTATCCCTCGGATTGCTGGTAGACACCACGATCCACTACTGCAACCATGAAAACGCTGGTAAGTACAGCCACGGAATTAGATGCTATCTAAGTCCGTGGTACAACAAATGAAAATAAAAACAAAAATACCACTTATGGCATACCGAATGTGTCTTCAGAAATTATGTATGCTGATATAAATATATCATCTTAATTACATTACTTTATGATATGAATAAAATTAATATATTTATACTTATTATCATATTTCTAACTGCTTTATCGCATGAATATGTCTATATGATTCCATGATAAAACAAATACGTTTTAGCAAATATATGGTTGATTTGTAAGTTAACATTTTATGTGAATGATATGATAATTTACAGACGTATGATTGCATGCAACTCTTCTCTAATAATTCAATAGTGAATCGCTCATTTTATAGTGTTTTAAAATAAACATGTTATAACGTGCGTATTTTAATGATGATTTATGTATTTATGTATATTTTGTGCAATGAGTTGAGACGTAAATAAATAAGTAAATTGAAATAAACTTGTTTACCAAGTGATCATGGTAGTTTTTATTATTATGACTTGCTTGGTTTAAAACTGTGTATAGTTTTTATATACATGTATGTTAACACAAGATATCACATTATGTAGAAACTGAGCAATTTCTCACCTGTTATAAGGGTTAAAATTAAAGTGGAAACTTCAAGTGCAAATTGATCGACAAGCTACAGCTTCAATTTACAATATTTACAAGTGGTTTTTTTTCTTCAAAATAAAACATTATTTTTACAGCTGTTAACATGAGTTAAGCTTATTAATCTCATACTAATCTTGTTATCCATTAAGGGTCAGAGGTCATGTTTATCAAGGGATTATTAAGTCTACACTACAGGATAAAGAAAAAGCAGGCATGCTTAAGTCATATTATTGACTTATTTAGTGAGATTTAGAATTAATTGATTTAAATTGTACCATTCACACCTAGCCATGACTGTATGTGTATTACAGATGTAGGTGTGTACACTATCATAAACCTATACATTCAGTTCTTGGTTTAATTTTCAACCTAGTTTAAATCTGCTGTGGTGTGGTGGCAAGCATCTGTCTTATCTTATGCACAAAACACTACTTGTCCAAAACAGCTGAACCCATTTAAACTAAAAGTGGTTTGGAGTTTTGTTTGGTGTAGAGGACTCAATATTGTTTCAGAGGATGATGTTTCCTCTCTGGGGACAGAGGGGCCCAATAAGGGAGATGTTTCCTCCCTGGGGACAGAGGGGCCCAATAAGGGAGATGAAGGTCTATATTTAGAACACTTCCCCTGGTACTCCTTCAGTACAAATGAAAGGTTTAGCTAAAGTTTAAGAAGTACTACATAAAAAACAGCACTGAAACTATGCCTTGCTGGGCATGAAGAAATCAATACACCCATGTTACTAGGATTGACCTGAGGTATGTGGCTTCGCCCCTGGAAACTATGTCCTTGGTTATAACTCAGAAACGGTTAAAATCCCAATAATATAACTATATGTATAATTGCTGGGCATGAAGACATAAACTCAACCATACTACAATGATAACCCTTGGTCAAGCCCCGCCCATGTTGACCCCTTCCCTGGATCATAACATGGAAACCGCAGAGATTCCAGCTATAAGCATATATGCAATCATTGAGCATGAAGCGAATTTGGTCCCCAGTTCATGAGAAGGAAACTGTTATCACATATACAACTACAACATAAACAGTCTCTTGCTACCATGATTGCCCCAGGTTCCTTCAAGCTGCTAGCTGGAGATGAAAAGACGAACAGTCTGGTGGTCAGGTGGTCGGGTGGTCAGGTGGTCAGGTGGTCAGGTGGTCGGGTGGTCAGGTGGTCAGGTGGTCGGGTGGCGCAGAGGATAACGCACTCTCCTTTCACCAAGGCGGACGTTGTTCCATTCCCCCGATTGGATGTGAAAAGGTATAAGGTTACCTGCCCAACCACGTGAGTTTTCTCCGGGTACTCAAATATCCTCCCACATTAAGACCCCCTTTGCACTTATATCTGGGCCAACAAGAGTGATTAATATAAGTTCTTTAACTTGTTTCATAATTGTTGTATAATAAGTTAAGTTTATATTATACAAACAGTAATTCTTGGTCCTTGGAACCTGTTGTACAAGGGAAGAATGTTGCTCCCCTGGGGACTAAAGTTCAAACGAAACAGGAGAGCTATACATGCCCTATAGGCCTCTAGTTACCAAGTCATCGTGTTATTGACTGGCATTATTCAAAAGTGTTGGACAGAGAGAGCTACCTGTAAAAGCGGCAGACAAAGAAAGCCACCTTGATATGACCTATCTGGCCAGTTCTGAATCGAGATGAGGGTGGCTGATAGACTCTCCCACACTACCAACCTACCAAACAAAGTGTAGGGAAATCTGTTTGATGATTTTCTTATCATTTCATGCCTTTATAAATCTCGTTATAAGTTAAAAAAGAATGAATTTTTTTTTATCCCTCCATAAAATATGTCTGCATTATTGATATTTTTGTATACAAAACACACAAGAATAAATTTCTAGTTATGATTCTTTTATTTATAAAATGGAAGACATTTCATGACTCTACCAACAATGCACTGCATTTACATATATATGTGAATACATAATGGCCCAGTTGTGTAACACCATACAGAGGAATAAATACACTGCCAGACACAACCTTAGACACAGCATCAGCCACTAGTAAACAATGATTGAAAGAGTGGTGTAATGGAAGTAGATGTGATAGAAGTGTTGGTGATAATGCATGGTGGTGGTGGTGGTGGTGGTTTGGTAATGTGTTGTTTGGTGTTGTTGGTGGTGGTGTTTTGGTAATGTGTTGTTTGGTGTTGTTGTTGGTGGTGGTGGTTTGGTAATGTGTTGTTTGTTGTTGTTGTTGTTTTGGTAATGTGTTGTTCAGTGTTGTTGGTGGTGGTGGTTTGGTAATGTGTTGTTTGGTGTTGTTGTTGGTGGTGTGGTTTGGTAATGTGTTGTTTAGTGTTGTTGTTGTTGTTGTTGTTGTTTTTTTGGTAATGTGTTGTTTAGTGTTGTTGTTTTGGTAATGTGTTGTTTAGTGTTGTTGTTTTGGTAATGTGTTGTTTAGTGTTGTTATTGTTGTTGTTTTGGTAATGTGTTGTTTGGCGTTGATGTTGGAGGTGGTTTGGTCATGTGTTGTTCAGTGTTGTTGTTGGTTGTAGTTTGGTAATGTGTTGTTTAGTGTTGTTGGTGGTTGTGGTTTGGTAATGTGTTGTTTAGTGGTGTTGTTGTTTTGGTAATGTGTTGTTTGGCGTTGATGTTGGAGGTGGTTTGGTCATGTGTTGTTCAGTGTTGTTGTTGTTTGTGGTTTGGTAATGTGTTGTTTAGTGTTGTTGTTTTGGTAATGTGTTGTTTGGTGTTGTTGGTGGTGGTGTGTTGGTAATGTGTTGTTTGGTGTTGTTGTTGGTGGTGTGGTTTGGTAATGTGTTGTTTAGTGTTGTTGTTTTGGTAATGTGTTGTTTAGTGTTGTTGTTGTTGTTTTGGTTATGTGTTGTTTGGTGTTGATGTTGATGGTGGTTTGGTCATGTGTTGTTCAGTGTTGTTGTTGGTTGTGGTTTGGTAATGTGTTGTTTAGTGTTGTTGTTGTTGTTGTTTTGGTAATGTGTTGTTTGGTGTTGTTGTTGTTGTTTTGGTAATGTGTTGTTTGGTGTTGTTGTTGGCATTGTGTTCTGTTGTACGTAGTTGTGTTGGCTGAAGTTGGAGGTGGATTCAGGTGAAGTTGAGGTGAGTAAGATTTGGATGTTATAGCAAATGTTGATGTATCGCTATGAGTGATAGGTGGTGTATTTCTGAATCTCCCTCAATCATGTACAATTACTCAGAATATTATAAATCTAATAGAGATAAGGATGATAGACTTACTCTTGCTGTCAACAACCTTTCACATATTTAAAATGTAAAACATACAAAGCAATTACATATATATATATATACATGTATTATAGTTTATTGCAATAGTCGCGAAAAAAGAAAACAAAGAAAACAAAATGTTAGGAATGTCAGCATTGTTTATGTAACAATCAACAACAATATCACTGGGGTCTTTATACACATAAACAAAGCATGTTCACCTTGAATTGATTCTAAAAATTGCGATTAACATTTGTTAAATCTTGCATAGATTTCAATTATGAAATTTTATGTAAAATGCCCCTAGAAAGTTTACACACAAATACAGCAGGATCAAAGACATTTGCACCATGAGCCATCTTGGGGATGAACATGATATGTAAGATAAAACTACACACCAGACCTAAAGTATGAAAGACTCTTTGTAAGGCTTCCTGGTCAGCATTGACAATCAACAATAGTAAAAAGTCCAAAGTGATAACTGAAATGACACGTATATGTAGTCTGTACAATCCTTCAATGGACTGGGGCTTTACCTCCGATATAAATGTTAAAGGGACGAACACATTGTAACATGGCACCAACAAATACTCCAAAGCATCACGGGAAAGTGTCTTATGGAACAGAATTTAACGGCAGCCATGTTAGTTCAGCTGTTCCAAGGGTGAAATAGAATAGACATCATCATGATATTTGTTGTACTGAACATCTTCCACCAAATCACTCACAAATTATTTGAATAACACCAGAAATGTGATGATAAACTTGACAGAAGCCAACATGGCGTCCCGTTTAAAAAATAAACAAGATGACTTCACAATGGAGGAATCAATGCTAAATATATGGGGAAGATACTGGCTTTTTCAAAATTGGTAAATTCAAATTAAGATAAAAACTTTGACAAGCGATAATTGATGTCAATATAAACTTAAAATGTGTGACCCAGGGGTGATCATTTGGTTGTCTAACCCTTGGCAGAGATTCATGTTAGACAACCAAAAACTACCTCCCTTGGGATGGAGATTTCTCCGACACACCCTCAAGGTTTGAATGGTTATTTCTCCGACACACCCTCAAGGTTTGGGATGGAGATTTCTCCGACACACCCTCAAGGTTTGGGATTGAGATTTCTCCGTCACACCCTCAAGGTTTGGGATGGGGATTTCTCCGTCACACCCTCAAGGTTTGGGATGGAAATTTCTCCGACACACCCTCAAGGTTTGGGATGGAGATTCCTCCGTCACACCCTCAAGGTTTGGGATGGAGATTTCTTCGTCACAACCTCAAGGTTTGGGATGGATATTTCTCCGACACACCCTCAAGGTTTGGGATAGAGATTTCTCCGACACACCCTCAAGGTTTGGGATGGATATTTCTCCGTCACACCCTCAAGGTTTGGGATGGTTATTTCTCCGTCACACCCTCAAGGTTTGGGATGGTTATTTCTCCGTCACACCCTCAAGGTTTGGGATGGGGATTTCTCCGTCACACCCTCAAGGTTTGGGATGGAAATTTCTCCGACACACCCTCAAGGTTTGGGATGGATATTTCTCCGTCACACCCTCAAGGTTTGGGATGAAGATTTCTCCGACACACCCTCAAGGTTTGGGATGGATATTTCTCCGTCACACCCTCAAGGTTTGGGATGGGGATTTCTCCGTCACACCCTCAAGGTTTGGGAAGAAGATTTCTCCGTCACACCCTCAAGGTTTGGGAAGAAGATTTCTCCGTCACACCCTCAAGGTTTGGGATGGAAATTTCTCCGACACACCCTCAAGGTTTGGGATGGATATTTCTCCGTCACACCCTCAAGGTTTGGGATGGGGATTTCTCCGTCACACCCTCAAGGTTTGGGATGGGGATTTCTCCGTCACACCCTCAAGGTTTGGGAAGAAGATTTCTCCGTCACACCCTCAAGGTTTGGGATGGGGATTTCTCCGTCACACCCTCAAGGTTTGGGAAGAAGATTTCTCCGTCACACCCTCAAGGTTTGGGATGGAAATTTCTCCGACACACCCTCAAGGTTTGGGATGGAGATTTCTTCGTCACAACCTCAAGGTTTGGGATGGAGATTTCTCCGACACCCCCTCAAGGTTTTGGATGGAGATTTCTCCGACACACCCTCAAGGTCTGGGATAGAGATTTCTCCGAGATTTCTCCTGTTTGGGGATAATGCCAGATGTAGAAAAGGAACAGGATAAGAGAAATTCTGGAATGGTTGAGATAATGAACACTACTGGTGTTTACTAGGAGTACAACAGTACAGGGTCTCCTGGTATACCCAGATACTCTACCATTCTAAACGATACAAAAATACTAAAATATCTGTTAAAGCATATCACTTCTAATCACTTTCATTAAAATTGTGACAAAAAAATCAAAATATAGAGAACTTAAACAAGAATTTCCACCTTGTTGACTTTCTAAAACTTTCCCAGAAAATGACATATTTCATATTGTACCAAGTGACAACCATCACACACTATAAAACTGTACTATTATTACCTAACTCCTATTTGAACCTTGCTTATCTGTGTTACAATCTTTCCATATATATATAATAAATAATTCAATAAGTCCTTGCAAAGGAAATTATAAAATAAGAAATGTACAAGATTGACTGCCAGGTCTTTTGTCTACTTGCCTATGGGTTTCTTCAGACTGCCTGAAGGAAAATAGCAAACTAACTAGAAAACAGTGTTGTAAGCACTTCCACCCATTTATAAATCATGGTTTCATGAAGGAGCCATCAATGCGTAAAAGCACTAGCAGTTCTGTTCTATAGTTTGTTTTTATATTTTCATTGTACTGATCACACAGACACTATTTTATCTATTTCTGTATATATATCATCAAAGAAATTTCATATGTTTTAACGTGATTGGTGTAATTACAAAAACACCAATCCTGAGAGTCTAGCAGGCCTGAAGAGTGCCATGATTGGCAATATTTAACTGTCAACACATATTTACATCTGTTTGTTTATTTATTACATACATATTTTTAATATCAATGATAATATACTTTCTTGTCAATCATGTTCCTCTGTGCTGATGACAGTATCATCTTTTCAACACTAAACCATATATTCATACATGTTTACTGACATTTCATAGCAAGCTGAAACAAATTCTTCATAAAAATATCACTGACTTTGGCAAGTGTTGTAAAATTCATTCCACAACACAATCTTCATGAAAGTATTTCTCAAGCAGCAAAAAAAAATCAACTTTTTCATAAAAACTTGTAAATTAATTCTACCAATGGCACATGAAGGTGAATTTTTATAGGAACTGCTGTTCAGCACAATCAACATCAGTCATCGTTTACATTACTTAATCTACAGTCATCATTCCTGATACACTGACTTACAGCATAATCTAGTCATCATTCCTGATACAGCAGCACTGACTTACAGCATAATCTACAGTCATCATTCCTGATACAGCAGTACTGACCTACAGCATAATCTAGTCATCATTCCTGATACAGCATTACTGTCTTACAGCATAATCTGTCATCATTCCTTATACAGCATTACTGACTTACAGCTCAATCACAGTCATAATTCCTGATACTGACTAACAGATCTATACACAAAGATGCTAAAACACATCCATAGACAGCTTTTATATGGACAAAATGTTTAACAATTTCTGAAAATATCTTGTCATGTATCTATGAATACCATGATCTTAAGACGTTTTATCGAGATCTTCTTATATGTTAATGGATACAAAGATCTTCTTATATGTTAATGGATACAAAGATCTTCATAAACGTCTCCTTATACATCTTGGCCTTATTTCAACAGAAATATCTCTGAACATTTAAAGTTTTAATTTCCCCCCTTTCCTCCTGGATGGAGTAATCTGTCACACAGTGGTTCACCTCTTGGAGCCCTTCTTCTTGATGAACACATGCCGAAGCAGCTCAGTGGCAGAAAGTCTTTTGTTCTGATCCCTGAAATGAAAAAACACAATTTAGGACTACATGTTTACACAGAGAGAGAATCTGTAAGTTAAGTAAACATACAAGTAGGAAAACTCAAACCCAACTCATACTTCACTATATATCGTTTTGTGAGGATTGAGGTTAATTCAGAGGTCTATAAAAATGCATTAGTCTGCTGGTTTGATTTAAGCTGAAAACCAAGCAGGCTGGGTTCCAGAGATTCACATGTACACCAGTACTACTACTGTAAACCTGTACTCACCGTGTCAGACAAGCATTCACAAAGGAAATGGCGTCTGTAGTAAACTTGTTTGGCAGTTCAGGAACTGGTTTGTCTGAGCCAATCGCAAAGATAGCTGCCATGGGGTTCATGTTTGCCCTAAAACCAACAAATGTTCCCAATGTGAAATAATGCACTCACTGTAACAAAATTCCTGGTACATTTGCAACATACATGCATATATACATGATTTTTTTACTTACATTGTATTTTTATATTTACATGATAATTATATGAAATGTGATTATGTGGTAATAATTTAATTCTGTTTTAAACAAGCATTTCCATTGGTTTATTTTTTATGTTATCAGCTCATAAACTAACGAAAGAACTGTAACAAGCGTTTTGATTGGATGATGGAAACAATTTTAATTGTGATGCGGCATATTGATTTTTTTAATTGATTTTGTGTATTGCATCATTTGATGCGTGATTTATCAAATTAAATGTTTGAAAATATTTCATCGCATTTTTATTTTTATACTAAATTTAAATTATAAGTATAAACTTGAAAGATTTTTTTACGTTATCTCGGGGACGTAACCAGGACTATGAGTATGTGGAAGCATACAAAGCGTGAAGCGCGGGNCTATCATTTTCATATATGGCTTGTAGTATTTTTTATCATATGCGTAATAATTAGCTCCATATGAACAAGGAACATTTTCTTTAAATAGTCTATAAAAGAAACAATATCAATGAGATAATGAATTCACTGAGGGCCCAGGATTATATGAGTTGTTAAAGTTTATCACATACAGTTCTACGATGTGATCCTTGTTAAAAGTATAAAATTACATGGAAGCCCGTGCGTCCGTGCGTACGCCTGGTTACGTCCCTGGCTATAACATAAAAAAGGTGTGTACGCTTCATGGTGTATTCAGAGTACACTCCTTTTCTATGATATGGCTTAATAACATAAAAAAATAATTCAAGTTAATCCTTAAATAAATACTGCCATATACATGTATATTGTTTACAGTGACGAAATTGTTTACATCCAAGTAAACATACACAAACAGATTGTTTTACAGATGTCCTCAGTCATAAATTTACTGTCCACTGGACCAATGACCTGGCATTACTTAAACACAGATGTCAGCAACGTACCACGGCGGCTTCCGAGTGGCCATCTCAAATATTGTACACCCAACGCTCCAAATGTCGGACTTCTTGCCATGGCCGGTCTCGTTAACGACCTCTGGAGCCATCCAGAAAGGTGTGCCCTTCATGGACTTGAGGATCTGTGACTGGCCCATACTGAGATTAATACACAGTCGCTTGGCACAACCAAAGTCTATCAGCTTGATGATTCCGTTAGGCATCAGCATCACATTACCTCCCTTGATGTCCCTGTGTATGACAGGAAGTGGTACGTACATCCATACAGACACATAACTAGTAGTAAACAATGTTAATTTGTCAAAGGATTTATTTTACTTTTCCCTGTATAAGCGTGATTATCTTCATCAAAACTGACAGAAAAGTACAAAAGACAAAAAAATCTTTCTCTTCAAAAGTTTGAACATTTGCTCAGCGATTTAGTTTTGTGAATCCTTTTCACAGACCCATTCCCTCACAAAATCAGCTTTGAGACGATGGCCTAACGTAACTGATGTTAACATACCTGTGAATGACGTCATTATCGTGGAGATATTCTACGCCTTCCAGAACCTGTTTGGTGTAGCGACGGAACACAGCCTCATCCAGCGCCCCAAACCGTGCCAAAATACTGGCAATGGATCCACCAGGGACGAACTGCATGAAGATGCTGACGATATTTTCTTCCAAACTGGTGCCCAAGTACCTAAATACAGTAAAGTGTTAAGGTTTTGGTAATAGTTTTATGTGGCTAAGTGTTTTGAGGAGACTAACCCAACAATGTTTTTGAGGGTTAAGGTTTTGGTAAAAGTTTTATGTGGCTAAGTGTTTTGAGGAGACTAACCCAACAATGTTTACGAGAGCTAAGGTTTTGGTAATAGTTTTTTGATGCTAAGTGTTTTGAGAAAATATTACCCAACAATATTTTTGAAGGTTAAAGTTTTGGTAATAGTTTTTTGTGGCTAAATGCTTTGAGGAGACTGACGCAAAAATGTTTCTGAAGGGGAGGGATTTTGTGCTGGATTTTTGTGGCTAAATCTTCCAAAGATTAAGGTTTTGGTGATAGTTTTATGTGACTAAGGAGACTTACCCGACAATGTTTTTATAGTTAGGGGTTTAAGGAGACTTACCCAACAATGTTTTTATAGTTAGGGGTTTAAGGAGACTTACCCGACAATGTTTTTATAGTTAGGGGTTTAAGGAGACTTACCCGACAACGTTTTTATAGTTAGGGGTTTAAGGAAACTTACTCGACAATGTTTTTATAGTTAGGGGTTTAAGGAGACTTACCCGACGATGTTTTTATAGTTAGGGGTTTAAGGAGACTTACCCGACAATGTTTTTATGGTTGAGAGTTTTGAGGAGACTTACCCGACAATGTTTTTATGGTTCAGAGTTTTGAGCAGCTCCACTTCCTCCTGGACCTTTTCATACTCCTTCTTGGCCTTGTCTTGGTTGCCAGTGTTTAACTCGATCTGCTTGACCGCAATCAGCTGACCTTCACTGGTCAGTCCACACCACACCTGTAAAATATTATTGATATAAAGTACGGTACATCACAAAATCAGTGATCAATTTTGGATTAGCTCACGTTTTCCTAGCTCTCCCTTTTTAGCATTTGGGATCATAAAATCATCTATAATATAAATATATAACTTAAATAAATATGAATGAACATAATTTTATGTCCTTTTGAACTTCAGTTTTATTACAGTGCAGCTACGGGAGCGATCACCCAATCAAAGGGATGACAACTTATCATCTAAGAAATCACAATCTTTTTCTGCCACCACTGGGGATAAACACCAGATTGTTTCGGAGAGCGAGTAGTTTAAACCTCAGGGTTGGTTACACACAGTAGCATGATCATGTCATCCTAATGTCACTATACATATCAAACGGCAGAAACTTAGATTACTTACCGTTCCGAACGCCCCCTTGCCAAGGACATTGCCCTTCTTCCACTGAATGGTATCCTCCACACTAGACTGGGTACTGATAGTGGTACAGGAACTACCCGGCCTACTCAGGGTCCCTATACAGCTTACAATGGGCTGTAATACACAACAGTTACTAAGTACTGATAATGGTACAGGGACTACCCGGCCTACTCAGGGTCCCGATACAGCTAACAATGGTCTGTAATACAAAACAGTTACTGAGTACTGATAATGGTACAGGGACTACCCGGCCTACTTTGGGTCCCTATACAGCTAACAATGGTCTGTAATACACAACAGTTACTGAGTACTGATAGTACTACCGGGACTACCCGGCCTACTCAGGGTCCCTATACAGCTTACAATGGTCTGTAATACAAAACAGTTACTGAGTACTGATAGTGGTACAGGGACTACCCGGCCTACTCAGGGTCCCTATACAGCTTACAATGGTCTGTACTACACAACAGTTACTGAGTACTGATAATACTACCGGGACTACCCGGCCTACTCAGGGACCCTATACAGCTTACAATGGTCTGTAATACACAACAGTTACTGAGAACTGATAATGGTACCGGGACTACTCGGTCTACTCAGGGTCCCTATACAGCTTACAATGGTCTGTAATACACAACAGTTACTGAGTACAGGTCATGTTTCTTTGAATTTAATCACATTTCTATGTACTTGGTCACATTTGTATGGACTTAATCACATTTCTATATACTGGTCACTATTGTATGACTAAATCACATTTCTATGAACTTGGTCACATTTGTATGGACTAAATCACATTTCTATGAACTTGGTCACAAGTG